CTCAATTTTTCACACGAATCCAACCATATAAATATCATAAGCTATAAATTAAAGATGAATGAGAATTTCTAAAAGTACTAAATTCTGATCTAAATATTTCAGAAAGTTCAAACTCAAAATTCTCCTAGCTCAATCAAAATAAATGAAATCTATGGACATGTATAGTTTCAGGGCAATGATGTCTATATTTTATCTTCTCAAATGCAAGCCTAACAATGCCTAAATATGAAGATAGAAGTTAAAGAAAAATACCTCAAAACTGGAAATCGTGAAATGTAAATGGGCTTGATTCAAGGTGCTTCAATGATCGGGTTAGCTTCCTCAAGTTCCCAGAAAGCTAATGCAATGATTATCTTGAGCAATGGGTGGCTGAAATGGTCTAGAGAAGTCAACTTGCAGAGCTCTGTTTTTGGTTATGGAGGTTGATGAAGATTGAGTTACAGTTATGAAACAGGGTCAGGGATGGTTTGTATTTGATGTAAGGAAGCTTTAGGAATGAATTTGAGGTAAAACGCACGAGGGAAATGAGAGATACAAGTTTAAGGTCAGAACTGTGTATCAATGGAGTTTTTTGTGCAATTTCTGGCTAGAGGGAGTTTGGGAGTGTTTCAGGGTGCTTGAGCTCGTCCCTTAGCTCACAAATAGTGACTCTATTTATAAGCAACAAGTTTGGAGACTTGTTGTTGATCAGAATTCAAAATCACAAGTTTATGCATAACATGTGATTTTTTTGAGAAATTCAAGTTTCAAAGCCTTGTGTACTTGCTAAGATAGAGTGGTTATGCTTTAAACATACTTTCTTATGACTTTGTGGATGGAGTGTGATCATAAGGAATAAGTTAGAAGCTCAAGAATGGACTTTATGCAAAAAGCTTGCTTTACAAGAATGGCAATGTTAACTTTGTGCCATTAATAGAAATGCAACTTGGATAATAGCTCAATTGCTTAGATCAAAGCTCTAGCAGCTGTGTAAACATTTAATTATGGAGTGACAAACAAGTTTGAGGCCTGAAAAGCAAAGATTATGCAGCCTATCATGGATTTGGTTCATGTGTTCATAAAAAATGACTTGTAAAACCCTAACTTCCTCTCTTCGATTATCCCCGCTCAAGAATTATATCAAGAAGTTCTTGGACATTTTGGAAAGATTGTAATATGCTCTACAATCCCTCTTTGAATCAATTTTGAAAATTCCACTTAGAACTATATGAAAAAGTGCCATGAAGCTAGGTCAAAATCTTGCCTAAATTAGGGCAAAATTTCACTAAGTGTTTAGTTTCAAGACTATGACTTCATGAATTAATAACTTAAGATCCAAGAACTTTTAGAAGAAGTTTTGTAAAAAATTGTTGTATATCTCATGGAGATATACAACTTTCATGTTGAAAGTTTCTTCCGAATCATCTTGCATCATGGTGAAAATTTTGCTTAAAGTTGTGAAAAAACATGAAGTTTTCAACACTTAGAAAAATTTCTAAGTTTGAAAACTTTGACTTTTCAAAATGAAATCTTGACTTTTTGATTTCTTGATGAATAAGTTTCATATTTTGATATGTTTTGATGAATTGTGATCTTTGACATTTGATTTTGACCAAAAAGTTAAAGTTTGACTTTTCAGTGTACAATTGACTTTTGATTAGTTGACTGAAAATTCACTATCAATCCAATTGATTTTGAGCAATATTTTGGGTCATGCCATTAGGTCAAAATGATGCAATTAAACTCTTGAGATCATGCCTCAAACCAATTGACCATTTGCTAGGCCAAAAATCAGAAATTGCCCTTTCTTAGTCAAAACCCTAATTTTGACCATTTTGCCCTTTTGATGATTTTGATCAAATTTCTTGAGGAATTATGGTCCAAACTTGATCAAATGATACATATGAGTTTATAATGTTGATGTGGATCAAAAAAATTATGAAGTTTGACTGTAAATTGGTCATAGTTGACTTTTTCCCCAATACAATTGATTTTTAGGTCAACTGCTCAATTGATTGAGCAAAGATGTGATCCAAGACTTGAAACTTGACATGAGTGATCTTGGGGGTCCATAATAATTCATGAAAGTCATATGAAGCGTTGAAAGTTCAATTATCCTTGTGCAATCTCAAACCCTAATTTCAGTCATCAGTGCTTAAGGAGGTGTCTTGAGTTGATCAACCCTAGTGCAGTCTTGAACCAAGAGAGATCTTTGTGAGAAAATATTTGATAAGTGAGAGGGAAAATTTTGGGGTACAACAGTAGACAATTTTGTCTTTCTAAGCGTTTTCTCGATTTTTTGTAAGCGGGTTGGAGTACCCCTAATACTCTCCTTAATTTATTCCTGACTTACAAAAAATATATATACAAGGTGCTGATATAATTTTAAATGTCCAATTCCACTTACTTGGCATGACTTTACTTGAAATAATTATCAGCACTTGAAATTTATATAATGTCGCCACCGTGATAAGACATATGTGAACAATGACCATAACATGGTACTTTACTTGAAATAATTATCAGCACTTGAAATTTATATAATGTCGCCACCGTGATAAGACATATGTGAACAATGACCATAACATGGTAAAGTAATATTGCAAGAGGATGATTTAAAGTTTGAATATTCAAATAAGATTCATATTTCTACATAATATTTCAAATAATATTCTTTTTATTTTATTATATTTTAGAAACAAATTTACATAACACACAAGTACTCGTGCGAACGTAAGGATAACACATCAATAATGTGTGAACGCACGGGTAACCAGGTCAAAATTCGTGTGAACGCACGAATAACACAGATGCACCATGTGAACGCATGGGTAATCAGGTCAAAATATGTGTGAACGTACGAGTAACACATCAGTATAGTGTGAACAGTGGTAATCAGATCAAAATCCTTGAAGACACGTGTTATTACATATTTTGTACAATTAAAAAAAAAAAAAAAATTTAAAATAATATATGAATTCAAGGAAGAGAAAAATATATTATTTTTTAATTATTTATGTATCTAATATTTTTATTTTGAAATTAATTTTAATTTAAAATACCATAATTTTTAAAATTATATATAAATAATTGAAATATATTTTATTGATGTCCTTCTTCTAAAAATTAAAAAATTGATTCAATTTTGTTTTTATTTTGAAAATATGTTTTTCTTTAAGAAATATTAAACTATTTCGATAAAACTATTTTGTTTTTCTTATTAACACTTTTATTATATTTTAAAAACAAATATGTGCATACCATGAATAACACATCAGTACCGTGTGAACGCACGGGTAAACAGTATTAAGAAATACATTTTATTTTTATTAATTTTATACAATTGTTTTTTTAATTGGTGTTTAAAATTTTTTCTTAACAATGATTGATTTAATTAACTTATATATTTATTTTTAACTATTTTTATTTTATTTTTCTTTTTTTACAATTAAATTTATATATTTTCTATTTTATTTAAATTTAAAAATTAAACTGATGGAAAATCCGCCGTCCATACTAGAACCCGTGCGGAGCACGAACTTTTCACTAGTTAATAATAAAAAACAATATATTTATAAAGATTAAAATTAGTGTAAACATTTGGAATTGAAAAAAAAATTAAAGAGAATTTTTTTCCACATCTATTACTCTTCTTCTAGACCTCTGGCGAAAAATTCAAAATACCTCGAGAATTCGGATATGCATATCTGAAAGCACCTCATTTGTTAAAAAAAAGTGGTTTCGGATATAGATTTTCGAATATGGATATCCGATTAAACTTTATTTTTTACGAAAAAGTGGTTTCGGATATGGATTTTCGAATTTTACTCTATTATAAAAATTTAAAAATACAACTAAAAATTAAATTAAATTAAATTAAATGTCTATAAATTTTTTCAGTTTTTTTTTGAAAATATGAAAGCGAAAAATAAATTAAATAAAAAAAAAACAAGAAATTTAGAGTTTTTTTGGGTGGGATCACCTATTTTTTCGCAAAATAAGGGGTTTTGATCTTTGATTTATTTCGGATGAATTAAAACGGTAAAATTTTAATTCAGAGTCGATTTTTCAGAAAACTTAATTTTTTACGTTAGATCTCGTAAATGCCCGAGATGCATTAATGCAAGGTCTAGAACACCGAAATTAGTTAATTACATTTTATTTTGTTATAAAATATATCAATTGTTACATTTCATTATTATAATCAAACATTTAATTATTACATTCATTGTTTAATTTTATATCATAAATTTATTTTAATATTTAATATTTAATTATAAATTTAAATTATTCTTTATTAATAATAATTCAATTTAATTATATTATAACTATATTATAAATAAATATTTTTTTAAAATAAAATAATAAAAAAAATTGAAATATTAATTTATTTCAAATATGTATATTAGAAATCTTTCTAAAAATAAAATAAAAAAATTCCTTCGAATATATATATCTATATATATATATATATATATATATATATATATATATATATATATATATATATATATATATATATATATATATATATATATATATATATATATATATATAACTTAAATTCACATAATGTGTTTATAAATATATATCAAAAAGATATTTTTGAGTTTGTATAGAAATTCTCTATGTTAGTAAGAGATGACGAGATGTTATATGGAGGGACCGATAACTTTAGAAACAAAACGTAGAGTGTGATCAGTGGATGAATATAATATAATAAAACAAAGCGTGAGGTTAACTTTTCTTTCACATTGAAAAGGTTTTTCATCAACATAACAACTCAATGACAAGAGCTATAGAGTCAAGTCAACAGTTTCCTTTATAGGTGGAAAGCTGAAATCAAACAGAGTCAACAGTGACAGTTTCAAGCATTAAATTCATTCTTAGTCTTTTCAGACACTCACTCACTCAATGCTTTACTTATTTCCCATGCTTCATTCATTTTCTTTTCTCACTGGTTTTTTCTTCACTCAACTAATTGTTTCTGTAGAATTTTACTACTAAAAGGAACATAATCAATGCTACAACAAAACACTGGAAAGGTTAAAACCCTTAGTGTTTCTATTTGTTCAATGCAACCTTTTCTTTGTTTCTCTGTCTTCATATGTTAAAGCCTTTAACCCACACCACTCCTGTTTTGCTTTTTTTTTTCCACCTTTGTTCAGATTCTTTATCTATAACTTCTGATCAGGGTATTTATAACCTTGTTGAGGTTTTTTAGGAACCACATAATTGTTTCTTGTTATTTTTTCCCTTTAAAAGTCTCAACCCAACCCATTCTTTTGAGGCACAACAAAAACACTAGAGACGGTCACTTTCTGGGTGAAGCAAGCTCTTTGTTTTGATTTAAGAATCCAAATATGGATGTAAGCTTATTTTCGGTGACCCTTTTAGATTTGTTAAAGTTGATGATGAATAATGATTGATGGGTCGTTGTTGTTTTTATCGATAGGAATACTGGAAGAGAAGTGGTCAAATACCAACGTTTGGGAAGTGGGATTTGGAGAACGAGTTGCCAATAACTCAGTATTTTGAAACTGCAAGACAAGGTGGTTATGGTGAGAGTGATCTTTACGCTGTTGATTTTAAGAAACCAGTTAGAAAGGTACTAGTACTACCACTTTTGGTTTCTTTATTAGTTTTTTTTTTTTTAACCTTACGATTCACATAAGAACAAGTTACTATGATATGATGTGGTTCACGTGCAGTCAACGAGAATTAAGGAGAGGGAGTACCAGAATGCTATGGTTAATGACAAGTTAGAAACAAGAATGAGAAAACATGGGAAAGTGTACCATGTAACGGAACAACCAAAGCCAGTAGATGAAGATCTCTACAAGATTTCTCCTCAACTTCTTCGAACAACCAAACGGGTTCGTCACTATTTTGTTTCTTAGTACTATTAAATGTTGTGAATCGTTTTGTGTGTGATTTGATTCATTATTTTGACTTGAATAGTAATTGATTGTGCAGAAGAAAATGTTGGGTTTCATTTGCAAGTGTCTGCTACCTGCTGCCTGCGTCTCATGAGTGACAATCCAACCAACACAACAACGAAGTTTTTGTTTTTTTTGTTACTAGTAAGGATGCTGGCTACGTTGTTTGTGCTGGTTTTCTTTTGCACTCAATGTTGAATGACTTTTTTTTTTGTATGATTGAGATTGAATGAAAAGATAACCTTCTTAGTTAAATTAAAATTTGTATTGGGTAGTGCAAAAGACATATTCTCTTTGGGTAGTGAGAAATTTATTTCTTAGGGACTTAGTAATAGTTAATGCTGTAACATTTAATATTCTATCTTGTGATCTCTATATAAATCACTTTATATTCATATTAGAAGTTAGTTGGACATTTTATAAAAGAAAACAAGTTTAAGTCTACTTTCATTTTCTCTTCAAATTGGTATCAGAGTGCATGGCAAATATGACGGGTCAAATGCCACTGCCACGACTATCAAAGTCGAATTATGAGAACTGAAGTATTCAGATGAAGGCGCTTCTGAGATCGTTAGATGTATGGGAAGTAACTAACGATGGGTTTGAAGAACCATCAAATACGACGGCAAACACAACTGCTCAGAATAAGGCGTTGAAAGAAACGCAAGTAAAGGATAAAACAACATTTACATGTTGTTCAGAGCAGTCGACGAATTAGTTTTCGAAAAGATTGCTGGTTCGACTACATCGAAGGAAGCGTGGGACACGCTAGAAATGACTTTCAAAGGAGTAGATAGAGTTAAGCAAGTTCGCTTGCAGACTCTTCGAAGAGAAATAGAGCGAATGAAGATGAAGGAGACAGAGTCTGTGTCGGACCACATCACTCGTGTGCAGACGGTGGAAAATCAACTCAATCGAAATGGAGAAGCAATGATTGATGCTCGTATTGTCGAAAAGATTCGGATATCTTTGACAGACAAGTTCGAAAATATAGTATGCGTAATAGAATAGGCGAAGGATCTTTCGACAATCACTGTCGAATAAGTCGCTGGTTCACTTGAGGCACATGAACAGTGCAAAATAAAGAAGAATGAGGAGACACTTGGGGATGCAGAACCCAACAGAGACGAAAAGGCACTTTTCTCTCAAAATTGGCGTGAAAGAGGACATGATCGTGGAGGACGTCATGGTGGTCGAAGTTACCAAAATAACAACTTCGACAGAGGACAATCAAGCCAACAAAACTGACGTGGCAGAGGACGTGGCCAGAAAGGTGGTAGGTCGAATTACAATAATATTGAATGTTACAAATGTAACAAACAGGGGCACTATGCGAAAGATTGCAACTCCTACAGTTGCTACATCTTTGGTAAAGTGGGACATCTTGCAAAAGATTGTCGACTCAGAAGAAAGATAGAAGAAATAACAAATCTTGTCCTAGAAATAAAATCGAATGAAAGATTTTTGTTAATGACTCAAAAGGAAGCAGGTGCAGAAAATGACACTATGTGGTACCTGGACTTAGGAGCAAGTAACCATATTTTTGGTCACAAGAACTTGTTCAAAGAAATAAAGAAAATTGAGGATGATCATGTTTCCTTTGGAGATGCGTCGAAAGTAAGGGTCGAAGGAAAAGGAACAATCAGTTTCCCGTAGAAGGATGATTTGATAGGATCAATCCAAGATGTGTATTGTTGTACCCCAAAATTTGCCCTTCCATTTTTTATGCAAGACACTATCCTAGGGTCTCTCGAATACTTAATTTGGCTCAGAAGTTGATCAGACAGATTCTCTTCCTACGTAGCAAATCAGCAATTAGGGTTTTGCATTTCTCAAAAGAAATTGAGTCTTCAAGGTTTCAAATGGTCTTCATAGGTCTTCGTGTCTCCTCAAGGTTGTTTCAGCCAGTTTTCAAAAACCTCGCATTGCAAGTTTGCTCAATCAATGGTCCAGATAACTGAAAACGACTACAGTAACCCCAAAATCGACCCTTTTGCGAGAACAAATTCAAACGATCGTAACTTCTTCATTATTCAATATTTTTGAGCAGTTTTTCTTGCGTATGATTCTCCTTGATGCCATCTCCATTTTCTCTTCACAAGTCAAGAGCTGATTACGCGTAGAATATCACCAAAATTCGAATGCGTTGGAAGTCGCATCATGAATTTTGACCTAATTTCAAATAACAGTCGTCTGATTTCTAAGAGTTGTGATTTCTTTAAATTATAAGATTTTGAGACGATTATTTTTGCATATGGTCATAAGAGATGCCGTTCACAAGTTTATCTTCAAAGATCGAAAGAAAATTGTGTTTGGAAGACTTTGAAAGTTATCGAATCGTCGCAAATCATTTGTTGATTTTTGATTGTCCTTAACCACAGTTTGTTGAAAGATTGACGAATGTTCTCAGAGCATGTTTGGTTGGCAATGAAGTTCCATTTTTAATCGAACATGGCGCGCGAGTTCATTTTTTTTAAAATACAAATTTGATTTGGACAAGATGTGAAGATTAAGACTGTCATTTAAACAACCATGATTTTGGATTCAAGTCGCCATGTTGGAAATTAAGTTAGGATATTAGGGAAATGATTTGAGGATTCATTTGAATAAAATTTTGGATTTCAATTCAAGTTAGCAAAGCGCTATGCGATATCACAAGTTTCGTCCAAATTTTCTATGATTCACTCACGTGAATTATTTTAAATTCAAGGTACCAAAGAACGAATTCGCTAAAATTTGCTCAAGCTCATTCGAGCTTTCAATATTCTAGCTTCATTAAAATGTAAACATGACCAAATTTGTGCTTCGGTGCATGGTTTCTCTAAGTTACAATTCTCATGAATCAAATTAAGTATTTCAAACAATTCCATTCAAGATCTTTTCAACTTCATTGCACTATCAAGAGAAATCCCAAAAAACTCTCATGGCCTAATTCAAAAATCATTCAAGACCAAACATTGTTATTCAACGAAGTAAAAATTACTTCATTCAAGTATCTTTAAGATCAAGTTTCAAATTCATTCATGATACATCAAGCCATGCTTAAAGAAAATTTGCATTGGAATATTACATATAAGATACATTGAAAGTACATTAGAATTATTTCCTAAATTCTAAGCCCAAATCTTAAGACTACATCTAAGACCATGTTGCTGTCTATTGTACCCCAAAATTTTCCCTCCCATATTTCTCAAGACATTGCAAGAAAAATCTCCAAGTTGCCCAAGGTTGCTCAAGAGTTGGTCAGACAAGCTCTCTCTTAAGGCAGTCTACCCCAAATTAGGGTTTTGTGTTGCATCAAGATCCTTGAGTATAAATGACCTCAAGTGCTACCCAATGTCCTAATATGTTCTCAAGATCATCCATGTCAAATTTCAAGCCTTGCAGAGGAAGTTTGCTCAGTCAATTGCTCAAAGGTCCAAAAATCGATTGTGCTAGGGCAAAAATCAACTGTGACCTATATACGGTCAAACTTCAAGATTTTTTGTCAACATTCTCATTTTGAAGGATATTTCATCATTTGATCAAGGTTTGATCATGATTCATCAAGGATTGCTCACAATTCATCAAGATTCAAAAGTTGCTAAATTAGGGTTTTGTAGGAAACGTCAACTCAACTTTGACCAAGCATAACTTTATCATATTTTATGAGAAATGAACCATCCAAATCTCATTTTGAAGAGGATGCAATTCCCTAAAATCCATCTTCATCTCCCAAGTTGAAAATATGAACTCACAAGAAGTTATGAATTTGGACATTATAGGTCATTTTGGAAAGTCAACAAAAACACCTTTTTTATCAAAGCTTCATACATGAACATGGAAGACTCAATTGAGATGATATCAAAGAGGTCTCTTAGGGGACATGCTAAGCTTTCTAAAAAGTCCAAGAACACCCTCATAAGGTTAAAATTGAGAGAGATATGCATTGTCAAAGTTGGACAATTTTTGAAAAAATGCATGAAGCAAATATTGACCAAACTTGGATTTTTTTCCAAATGGGCCTATCTTTTCAAGTTTGAAACTCATTCCTAACATGGTCCACGACCTCTAAGCCCACCCATACATTTTTCTACTATTTATGCTATTTATTTTGATATTTTATTCATTAAAATTCAGAATTAAATAAATAAATAATAGAAATAATATAAATTTTGATGTGAATCCATTTTGGGAAAGTTTTATGTTGGTTTATGTCAATTTATTTCGTGCAATAACTCTTCAAATATGTTCAGGTTCATCCACATGTGAAAATGGCATAAAATCATCAAATATGGCATTTTTTTCAAATTTTGATCATGGTCTTAAAACACAACATTATGAGGGAGATTATTTCCATGCTTTCTTGTCTCCTCATTCTCCTCTATAAATATAGAGCCATACAAGCTTGAAAGGGACGAAAATCCTCTCTAAAAAACTCTCAAAAAGCTCTTCAAAAAGCTCTCCAAAAATCAAAGAATTGGTGCAAGTCATATCTCGAGGTTCTGGTCTCTCTCAATTGACATCAAGCCTCAAACCATTCTCTTGAAGTCCTCAAGAGTCTTACAAGGCCCAAGAGCCATCCATCACACGCCTAGCACACCCCCCATTTGACAACACCGGTTTGGTAAAATTTTAAACTTTGAATCTCTAATTTTAATCACATTTTATGGTATGCTAACGTTTGTTTGAGTTTATATAGAACAGTTATGGATGGTTGAATCATAGGTTCCACGCAAGAATCAAAAAACACCATAGTTAGAGCATAAAGCTTTCGAAGATTCGGTCCTAGGAATTTCTGATGATTGCACCCCCTGTTTACTTTTGCTACTAGGCCCATCTTTATTTTCATGTTTTATTCGTTTTATTTATTTATTTTAATCCCTTTTATTTTTTATTAATAAACAAATATAAAAATCACATAAAAATATATTTAGGATTTTTTCTTAATTAAATTTTAATTTTAGGTAAAACTTTAATTTCTTTTTGTAAATAACTTAAAAATAATTAGAATAAATAGGTTTTATTACTAACTTAATTATATTTTATTTTTTCCTAAAATAACCAAAGAAACCAAAATAGGTCTTGTAATTATTTTTATTAATTAATTTAATT